ATATATAGCTTATAAAAATTGATGTCAATGGTGCAAAATGAGGATTAAATCTCTTGAATCTCAACTCACTACTTTCTTCAATTTTTAAAGAATTTGTATTCGACTCTACGTGTATGGGAATGAGAGTATGTATTGCCTATTTAGGCTTTTTGTTGTTAATTAAGTTTCATTTTTTATATTTATTCAAGTCTTAGGTCTCATACATAATTATCATTTATCCCTCAAATTATATAATAAAAAACCACATCTTAGGTGTAACGCGTTACAATGGAAGTCGGCAAGGGTTAACTTGGCGACGAACCCAAGCCTTTGCGCCATAACGAGGCCATAATGAGTTATTTAGAACTATGTTTTCAGGTGATGTTTTAATTAAAATTTATTTATATTTACTATATTCTGTTTTCACATGTGATGCATGCTTTTATTATTTAAAATGGTTTTCAAAGTTCTCAACTTTTTTGTGGTTGTCGTTTGAAAAACTAAAAACTTATACATAAAAAGCATATAAATTATTTGAAAAAAATTTATGGAGAAAAACAGTGGCACCGATCGAGAAGAAACACACACACACATATACATGCATCAACAACATATAATTTACAAAAGCATAAAATGTGTTACCTAAATGTATGGAGGAAAAACATCGATAACAATGAAAAGGCAATTCTACGAAAGTGAAACAATAAAAAAAACATATAAAATCGTTCAAACATAAGATAGAATTAAAAATTATTAAATCCAATTTGATGGAGCATTCCATTGTAGCTTACAATTAAATAAATTATAAAAAAGATTTCGTGAAAAAGAGATGAAATGTTTAAAGAATATAACATTCGTGACTTAATAAATGAGATTCACCAAAATAAATAAATCATATTATAAAATCATTAAGTAAATTAGGCACAACATCCGCATTTTGCCATAAAGTGGGCACTTTGGCAGAACCCATTGTAATAATATTGTAACACAGTTAAAGATAACAATTCAAAAATATCAATAAAATATAATATTCAAGTACTAATCATTTGATAACATATGCATTTCAGTTGAAAAAGGTTATAAGAAACTCACCTCGAGTCGAAATATTCCACCTTAAGTCTTAAAGGTTAAAATTGCTCAAACTGAACACTTGAACTCTTGAATTGTCGGTCCATAACCCATATTCGATTGGGTCGTAGGGAATACACAATTGTTTGGTAGTGACTTAATGATGTAGAAAATAGGGGTGTTCAAAAAAAATCGTTGGACCGTTCAAACCGGCCGAACCAAGTTAATCCGGATCGTTTTTGACAGTTTGATCTGTTCTTATGGGCTATGACCCAAAGATATCCCTGAACCAAACAAACAACTTTATCTATGAATCACTTAATGGAAAACCAATAGTATAAGGCCTTGTTTGTTTTTCTAAAAAATCACTTAATTGCCTCTTAAGTCTGACTGATTCAGACCTAGAGGAATTAAGTGCGTTTGTTTTTTTTATAAATTAAGTGCTGAAAATGTCTCATTTTGTCTGAATCGGTTAGATGTAAATTTAACTCTGAAAACCTCTTAATTTGATTCCCCTTCCTCGTCGCTCTAACCTCT